AAATATTTGCCTTCCTAATGTTACAATCTGAACCTGCCAACTTTCACCCTGAATCCTACTACGAAGTTCAGCTACTGCATACTTACCAGCCTGATAGAAATGTCTCAGAGAGGCGAGTTCGTACACAACATCACCGTAAACACCCAGCAACGCGTCGGGAGTTTTACATAATTTGCCGTGTTATGATGAATTCAAGTTCCACCTTTAGTATATATAAATTCATGTGTCTTACCTTAATATTGCAGGCCTGCTCCATCAATCTTCTCGCATTTTCCTCTGCCCTGTATCTCTTTGGAAGCTGAACTCTGAAGAACTTTAAAGCACCTTCAAAATCAGCCTGCAGAAGATCTTCCTTTGAGGTCTGCAAAATAATCACCAAGACTCATCATTACATTTTAGCCTGCATTCAGGACAAATGCATTGAAAAAAGATGTTCTATTTTCCTGAATGCACTTTTACAGCTCAGATGTCGGTTAATTCTAAAAATTTTTAGAAAGAGATTTCTAATCTCTTTACTATAAATTGAAATAAGTCACCATATCCTAGAAGCAATGTAAGAACTAATTAACAGACTAACATATTTAATTTATAATTCCAGAAGATCTGAATGGTGGATCCCAGCACAGCTAAGTAAGTTATAGCTCTGAGAGAAGAAAAATGCCAGAAAAGAAAAAAAAAAAGAACTCTGGGACTAATCTGTGACTTTGGCATTTTAAGAATATTATCACAAAGCTGGCTGAAGACACAGACAGTACAATCACAAAGCACATCAAGTTACATAATAAACACCTAACTGGAGGATGGGTTTTCAGCAGCTCAAGTGATGAAAATAAGAAATTGATCCCACACCTTAAAGAATGCCATGAAAAAGTCAACGAAGGAAACCACTTAACTCCTGAACTTCTTATGAAAACTACTGTTTGCAAGGAAGTAGCAGCCACTTAGAAACAGATACGCGCACGCACGGAAAAAAGACCGAAAGGAAATGAAACACGATGTTTCTCTGGATAGCGGGATCACGGTTTGGTATTTTTTCTTTAGATTTTGTTGTATTTTCTCCAGCAAAGATTTTGTAATAAGAAAGATAATAAGTATTTTAATAAACTACTATAAGCAATTTTTGGCAAACACCGTAATAAGATTATACATTTGGGCAGACTCAGTATACAGAAGTAAGCCAAAAGGAAATTAGATGTTTTAATGCCAACTGTAATTTAAAAATTTTTTAAATTATTAAAGAAAGAAATTAGATGTTTTAAGAGTCAATACTTAATTATCAAAAACTTCAGCGATAAAATGAAAAAAAAAAACATGGTGGCTAGAAATTATAGACCTACGCACTAGTTCAAAATACTACTTTATTGAAATTCAGAAGTCAAGTTGATTAAGTTTCAACACTGCATTGAAAGAGTTCAAGGAAGGGAGAGAAATTCCTGCTCCTAGTGGGGCCTGAGTTGCTGCCATCACCACTCTGGCCCAAGCCACTGTCATCTCTCAGGTGAGCCACTGCGGTTCCGTCCTGAGGGCTCTCCCAGCTTCCTCTCTCAGATCACGTCACTCTTCCGTGTAGAATCCTCAACGGTTCCTACTGTGCTCAGAATAAAAGCTCGAATTTTGCCATCGCCCCAAGGACCCTTCATGATCTAGGTCCCGCCACCCCCCACTACCCTCCTCTTGAACCACATCCCTCTTTGTCCTCAAGCTCCGGGCGTACTGGCCTTCTTTCTGGTCTTCGACACACTGAAGGCTACTGCCCCGGCTGTCCCCTCTGCCTGGAAACTCTTCTCCCAGGTTTTCAAAAGGAGAGCGACTTTCTGTGACCCAGATTTTAGTGCAAATGTAAGAGCGGGGCAAGGCCTGCTCTGAGCATGGAAACGCTTCTCAGCCCAGCAAGGAATTTTCAGCAAAGTCGTTTTCCACGTCTGCATCTGTCTCCTTCCTCAGGAAAGGGGCCTTGTCTGCCTCGTTCACTGCTGTATCCACAGTGACAAGACCGGTACCCAAAATGTACGAAGTACTCAATTAAAATATACTGAATGAATGAATCCTACATATATATATATAGACAGATAATCTACCCGTATCTACCTACCATCCATCCATCTACCTGTTATCTATCTATCTATCTATCTATCTATCTATCTATCTAGCGAGAGAACCAAAAAAAAATTCTGAGATGTTCTAACTTAAATTATAGCTGCTGGAGAGCGAGACACAGAAATAATTAACCTGTTAATAGCTGGGAGCCAGCTAACGAGACTGCTGACATTCCTGAGAGTGTGTTTCAGCTCTGAATTAACGTCCACGTGGCTATGTCCGAGATTATCTCAAAAGAGGAGAGGCAGGAGCCTCTGCTTCTTGCTCAGGCACGAACTCTGCAGACCGTTCCCCACGACCGATCCAAAGGACGAAGGAGCAAAGCCTTCGTCCTCACGGGCTCTGCGACCATCCCCGCGCCTCCCCGCTTCTCCTCCCACCCCCCGTCATCTGCAGCCAGTGTCCATTCTCTCAGAACAACTTATGTCTTTCTCCTCTTACCTAACATGTGTTTTGAAGGCCGGTTGGCCCCAGGCCGCGGCCATGTTGCCTGTCCCGCCTGGTGCGGCTGCTGCTGCTGGTTTAGACCTCACGCCCATGAGTTGGTCTTTTTATTCTTGCGAGCAATGGCCCGACAAACCCTTTCTTTTAAAAAGACTTTCAGCCATAGAAATAAAAATTTTTGTTTAACATTACATATGTATATATTACATATATATATATATAATTTTTTTCTCCCCTCTCCTCTCCACTTTAAACAGAAACATGTAAAATAAAATAATATATTAATTCATACAGCAGGCATTTTCAAAAGTGGGCTAGGTTGGTTTAGCTTTAGATCCACAAACTAGGAATCAGAAAATAGAGCTGGGCTAACAGTGGCAGTGAAGAAACAAGCTTTACTACATTTCAGACACGTTTCCTTCCTCGTCAACAAGCAGACGTGACGGCGCCACAAGTGGCGAAGGTTAGTGTCATAGCGTGCTGTCAACTCACCTTAACTTACTTGGAAAAGGCAGTCACTAGAAACAACTTCGGCCCCGAAGAGGACCTCTCCAACTAAAATAGCAACTGCGGAATTGCTGGGAAAGCATCCAGTTACCAGTCACACCAGACAGACCGCATGCTAGTCTTCCTGTGCCACCTGCAGTACCGGTCTGGTGAGTAGCTCTCTGGTGATGGTTGGGAAATTCAGGACAGGCTGCTTCGAGCTTGCAGAGAACCTGGATTAGCAGCTTTTCCCACTACTCAAACGCCTCTGAGGGCACCGCTTCTATCTGCAGTGAAGCGACCTCTCGTTACCGGCAACAGATGCCCCTACTGCCGGGGCGCAGCCTCGTGCCTCGGGCAGCAGCTCGGTTACCTAATTTTCTAATAGTATCTAAGGCCTAATTTCAAATCCTGCCTCTGAGTTCATACAAAATCATAAAGATTAGTAGGATTAAAGATGAGCAATCACATCCTGTGACATGTAACCACTGGTCAGGCGGGGTGGCAGTGTAGACAGACATGCTGTTTGGGGCAGGCTGTAGTCTCAGGGGAGGTACAGCACGGAGATTCCCAGCCAGTGTCTGGAAACCAGAACTCAGGGTGCCCATGACTGTCCTCTCCAAGCCACTGCTGGTGTCAGTGACGCTGCACTGCCCAACTCAGCCAAACCCAAGAAGAAAGGAACTGCCAGTCGCGGAGCAGGGACGAGGCTCGCGTGGGTAACAGTCTGGGAAGTTCGTCCTCTTCGGTCCTCTAGCGTCTGCCTCTAGAAAGTACTCGTCAGGTAAAGGTGGCAGGGGTGGAGTAAGTTCAGTCTAATTCCACCTCCGGCTGCCGCACGGTGTGGCACGTCTCCACCATTCCCCCACTTGAAAAATGGGAGAGTCTTCAACCTCGAGCATTTGAGAGTGAAGTTAAGCTAAGGCGTACGAGTGCATTTTGTGTGCCCCCAAACAAACATAAAGGACGAGAGTTTAGAAGTCGTCTCTCTGTTGCTCAAATATGCTCGGATACTGACGTCTTAGTAGCAAAAAATGGTACCCTGCTCTCACCGACGTTTTTAATTCCGTAAAACAGGCAGTCAAAGCTGTAAAGACTGACTTTCTTCTCATGGGCTGAAATAAAGCTCATTTCATTGTGAATGAAAAAACATGCCGGAAGGCAACTCCATGGGGAAAAAAATATGCCAGTCAGCAAAAGACATCCTAACAGAAACCCTGCTTGCCAGTGTTCTGAAAGACAGCCTACGGCCTCGCTTCGATTCTCATGGGCTTTTTTTCCCTCCAATTTTCTGGTTTTAACAATCTCCATAACCATTAAGTAACACCTCAAAGGCCTTTGTATGTCTCTCCATTTTCTGACACTTGTGTCTGAGAGGTTTTTCCCGCTACAATTGAATAGATATCTCTTGGTCTGCAAAGGTTATGATGCCTAAGAGTTTATTAGAAAGTTGTTAGTGTTTTAAAATACTTTTTCTTAAATCGTAATTTTTATACAGATGTGTGTATGTTTCTGTAGTGGGATCATGCATTTGTTACTGATTACATAGTCACGACCCCGAAAAAGAAAAATATTTTTTAAAAAGTCTAACAGGTCTCACCGCCCAGACGGAAACACAATGAATGTTTTGTTAAACAAAATTTGAATCAAATTGTATATAGTATTTTGCTAAATATACATGCTTCACAAATGTCAAGCATTAATGTAATTATATTAGTCCAAAATATAGCAGTGGTGCTTACTAGAAAGATAAAATATGGATTCGATCACACATACTAATTATTAATGAGCTGGCTATGGAGATGTTAACTTAATTAACCGTTAAAATTAAGTTTACAACTGTGGGATGCTAATGCAGAGAAGCTGAACTTAGGACACTGTGATAAGATGCAAGCTTTAAAAATGCACCCCTAACAGGGAGCGCGACGTTTCAAGAACCAAACCAAGTACCCCAAAGAGGTGTTCTGGCTTCTGGGTATCGTTATCCATCTGTGCTCACTACGCAGAACCCCATCAGAAGAACTGATTCGAACTGGGAAGGCTGTTCTTCAACTGGGAAATTCTTAGAGTTCTTCTATATTGCCTTCAGAACAATAGTAGGGAAGAGTAAAATAACGAAAACAGAATTATTTTCCTGACATTGTTTGTTGTAATGTTAGCCAGAAGATATGGTAGACAAGAATTTGGAAAATCTGAATAAGCAAAGACATGTTTTCTTCCTTTGTAAAATAAAGAAAATAACTCGGCCAGCTTTCCTATAAGAATAAATGACAACTTTTTGAAAAGTAGTGTCTCTACTAACACTCGCCCTTTGCTCCCCAAATTTTCTGCTAA